TAAATTAATCTCAATCTAATCTCAATGGCAAGTGTTTTTGGCTTACGTTATAGAAATATAATCCGAGATTCAAATTCAAAAATCGATATGTTCGTGTGAGTATATATGTTTATTGTTTGTTTAAAAAAAAAACTATCAATAGTAGTTATTATTAGATTAGATGATTTTATGAGTAATTTGAATTGAATCATGTTGAAAGAAATTTAATTTCTCTTTATATATATATTTATATACAACTCAATAATTCAAATTGGTTGTTACGCTTACAAGAGAATTCCAATCTGAAAACATGCCTTGTCCCACAAAGGGCTTTTGTTTAGTATTTGCACACAGTTCAAGAGAATAGGACACCCCGCCAAACATTTTCATTCGGAGTGATGAAATTATATTCCTGACTTGTTTATAAGAAATAAATAATAATAAAGTCATTGTATACTGTGATGATTCTATTTATAAGATACTTTTAATATATTTTATACAGATTAAGAAAAATTTTAAATTATATTAACTCTCTATTAAAATATAATAACTTTTTAATTTTACCCTTATTTAATATATACACCATTCAAAAACATAACTATCTATACTATAATAAATGAAGAACAAAATAATATATTCATGTTAAAAACTTAATGAAATGATTTATAAATAGGAAAAAAAATCTTCCCTCTCTGTCTTATAAATAAAACTGAAGGATTACAATGAAGAGATACATAATACACTCCATGCATGGTGTAATATGTGATATACCAAAAAGGAGACAATATGTGACATTTTGACATAGTTTCCAATATATACTATTGGATTTTATAGTTAAAAAAAATGAAGGTGTTATATTATCCAGGGTAAATCCTTAATTATAAAAATTTAAGAAAATGTCCATACCAAGTTATTTATATGTTTTAAGAGGGAGTGGTGATTTAGTCTTTTAATTTGGATTATCTTGAAACAGTCTCTTTTTCCTAAATATCTTACCAAACATCACTAAGCAAGATATTTTGTTTCCCTTTTTATTACACATATTAAACATATTCTTTCTATGCCTTTCTATTTTTGTTTGCATTGAGCCCACTTATGTACTTACCTTTTAATAAAGTGGGAAAAAAGATGGGAAAACTATATTGGAAGTACCTATACTTTTTTTCAATTTTCAATTTGGTACCTATGTGTTTTTTGTTCTTAACTAAATCTTTATTTTTCCTCTATTAACATCATTAATCCTTATGTAGAGACTAAAAATATCAATAGAACAAAGTTATAAGAGCTAATGTTGCTAAAAAGATAAAATTAAATGTTTAATTAAAGGGAAAAAACACATAGGTACCAAATTAAAAATTGAGAGAAAGTATAGGTACCTCCAATATGGTTTTCCCAAAAAAGATAATTGGCTTCTTTTGAAATTCTATCTCCTTTTTAAACTTGAGTTTCCACCTTTTAATTTGCTTCGCTTTTCATTGACCTTAATGGTTAAACGATTTATGAATGGAAGTGTATAATTCAAACCCAACCGTATCAAGGACACATCACAAAATTTAATATTACATTTTTAGAATAAAATCACAACATAAAAATTTAAAAGTTTTAATTAGATAATAATATTAACTTACTAAATATAGTAGATGCTTATTGCCCCGGCCACATGATGGGTCATAATCTTTAGCTCTACCTAGATCAAAGCAACTTACATAATATATCATTTTTAGGGATATATAAAAGATAAATTTGTTCCAAAAATTTTTCACACGGTATAATTAATTGATTTTTTTGGCTAGGCACAAGTATTTTTCTATTAGAAATAATAATGTTGAAGGTATTATCGGATATTAATTATAAAGGCGTCTCTCAACAAAAATTCAAACCTAAAAAAAATTCAACATCTCGTTATTGACATTCAAAATTTCAAAATTATATTTTCGAATTTTAATTAGAGATTTTACTTGAAGTAGTCTGAGCCAAAAAGCCAACTCTGCCCGGTTTTTAATTTGACTATTGATAACCCAAAACATTGTGCGTATTAAGAGTTTAGAGTATACCAATTACTTTTTTTCAGAAAACTTTCAAAACAAAATTTCCCTTTAATCGTAATAATTTTTCACCTAAAGGTCAACTGTATTAATTATTACTTCAGTTTATTTAATATAAAACCTAATTGACTAATTTAGAAAGATTAAGAAAGTTACTAAATCAATTTATATCAATTTATAAGTGAGACAAATTAGTTTGGAGAAAAAACAATAAATATAAAAAATTTAAAGTAATTTATTAACTTCTTTCATTTTCTCAAATTAGTTAATTAGATCTTATATTAAGCATTGAGGGTATTAAAATTTTGTGACCTATCACACACTCTCTTTTGTTAAATAATAAAATGTGATAAAAATTGGTAAGTAGTAACTTAAAATTGTAAAAAAAAAAAATTATAGCATTTTTAATGATGCCAAACAAAGAGCTAGCCAGTCTCTTATTCCACTTGGAAAATTATGCTCTTTTTTGTCATTTTTTGGGCTAGGCTATATATCATGTCATAATCATATCAACCATTACCATTTTATATAATATACCAAATCATTCATATTAATATACCAATATAAAATGTATAATAAATAATACTGTTATAAATTATAAATATAATTTGTTTCTTAAATTTCAGACAACGAGCATATCTAAAAGATAAACTTGAAAAAAAAAAAAAAAAAGGGATAGAATGATTCGTATAGGCAGAATCCTTTGGCTGTTGGTATGAAGCTTCCCCTGAATTTACCTAAAGAGAGGCTGATGATAAAGTCACCATAGGGTTCGTCATTTCATATGCATCACCAATGACTAAAATTTCCCAAACAAATACATCTAAACCCCCATATATATTTTGATTAAATCAGTTATAAAACCCTTAGTTATCTTTCTCATTAGCAGTTCCCACATGCTTTGAATGTAACTGGATTAGCCTTGGATAAAACAAAGCTTTTGACATTTATAATAGGTGTTTCACTATTTTTTTTAAAAAAAAACTATGATTTTAACCTTTTATATCAAGAGTCAATCTTATGTTTTATTATAACCAAAGTCAGTTTTTTTCAACTCAAATCTAAACATCACCTAACAGGAAAGGTATATTTTATTTTCCACGTGTTTCTACGCAACTATAATGGCCCAACCCCACAACTATAAATTCTTTGAACAGCTCAACCCATCTGGATTGGCCCCCCGTGAAATTTGTATAATACTAACTCTAATTCTTAATATAAAAACTAATTAACTAATTTGAGTAGATCAAGAAATTAGTTAAGTTAGTTATTTATAATAAATAGATATTGTCTTTCCTAAAATATTTTGCCAATCAAGTATATTGATTAGGACTACCATAAAGACTATTTTAGAAAAAAAATAGATATATATGAGAAACAAAATATATTAGACTCTTATATTTGGAACCAACAAAATCCTATATTGAGAGCTAGAGATAGTATCTTGAATTAGTTTGTATTCCAAAGATCGTTAGATTAAGTATACAAGATATTTGACGCATTTAAAAAAATTTTAAATTCAAATCTTATGGATAATTAAGGAGGTGTTTAATACCTGTTAATTTATATTCATTACGACTAATTAATTCTCCGATCAAATTTTAACATTAAAGTCTTTTTTTTTTTCACTTCAGCCTTTGAATTAGTGGTGTAAGAATAGATTTTGAATAAAATTGATTAAAAATCATGGCTTTGAATAAAATAGATTTTGTGAAAGAAATTGGTCATATTTGGACGATGTTTTCTGAAAAAATTGATGTTGATAAAATTAAGAATGTTTATAGGATTGTTATCAGAATCAATTTTCAAGTGTAAATTACAAAGCAAAAAAGACAAAATAATATGATACTCCTCTGATCCTAAATATAAAGCCCATTTTGTGATGTAATTTACACCACAAAATGAACTATATATTTAGGATAGGAGGAGTATTTACCTAAACCACAATATGCAACATGACTGACAGCCATTATTACCTCCAACGAACAAATTCATCTAGATAAATAATGGGAGAATTTTAGTGCATTCCCTCAGTAGCTAATTAGTTTTTTCACAAATGTCTAAATTCCACTGTATTTCAAGGGTTAACATGATACTCCTCCGGTCCTAATTATAAGACCCAATTGACTTATTTGAGGAGATTAAGGAAGTAAGTTAAGTTGGTTATTTATAATAAATAAGTGTTGTCATTCCTAAAATATCCTTGCTAATTAAGTATATTGGCTAAAACCATCATTATTAGAAGGATTATCTTGGAAAAAAATGCATAAATATAAGAGACAAAATGGATTGGGTTTTATAATTAGGACCAAATAAAAAGTCAAATTGGGTCTTATAATAAGGATCGGAGGAGTATTAAATTTAATGGGTAAAATACATGGGTGCCCTTGCTTTTTGTTCCTTTAAGTATGGATGAGCGTATGAGAAAGGGAGTAGTAAATTTGCTAATTCATATTGTAGTTGTAAATTATGATAAGGATATGAGAAAGGAGAATTGCAATTTTTCTTACATGTTGTTGTAAATTATTCTTCCGTCGCCAAAGCTACAGTGGTCATCGATAGTTTTTTTTTTTAATGGACAAAGATATTAATTTTTTTTTATAGATACAAGTATTCTCTTATTAAAAACAATCATATTCGAAGTTCTTCAAATACTAAATATAGGCACATCTTTATTTTTTAAAGATATATTAGTTATGATATTATATTTATTTTAAATTCTATATCTATTAAAACAAAATATTAATTAAAATATATAAAAAATTTAAATTCAATCTTAACCATCTAAAATCAATTTGGATGGTTCAAATTACATCCGTGCTCATTACTGTGATGAGCATGGAACGTGTCTCATAATTAGCATCTCATTAATTCGACATGCCAGGGTCCCACATTCTGGATCTCATTCATCGCCGATGAATTATACTTTTCTTTAATTTTAATGGCAGAGGTCTCATCCCGACACAGTAACTATGGCTATATATCCCAAAATCCTAACCCCAATTTGAGAAGTCTCTATCGGCCGGAGACGTAGAAGATGATGAAAGCCACGATGGTCCAACGAGCGGTGGAAGGCCTAACGTTGTTGGTGGCTAGGATATTGAACACCATCGTGGTGCTCGTGAAGAAGACGCACATCAGCACGACGTCGGCGTCGTTGCCGTCGGTGCCATCGTGCTGGTCGTCGTCCTCGTCGGAGGAGGAGGAGGATGATGATAATGGGTACGGTCTGAGCTGGAGGTTAGCTGTGGAAGCAAACAATGTGGGTCCATGGCGAACAGTTCCGACGAGATGTTACAGACACGTGCAGAGTTACATCATGGGAGGACAGTACCAGAATGATGTCCAACTCATCGCCGACCAAATTCTGTCTTATGCCCTCCACATCCCTCTCTCCTCCGACGGCCTCGACGCCTGGGTTTTCGACGTCGACGATACCTGTATCTCTAACATCAACTACTACAAAGCTCAGGGATTTGGGTTCGTTCCTTCATCTTTATACATACACATATATATATATATATATCTTCCTCCCAAAACCCTCAGTTTTCTTTCTCTGGGGATGAATATCATCTTCTTTCCTCAGTATGATTGTCTCTGCATATTCAAAAAGGGCGAAAAAAAAAAAATTCTATACTCCCAGTGTTCATCTAGTGACACGAATGCTCTTCTATAAACCAAAAGTCATAAGTTTGATTTCCTGTAACTTCAAGTAGTTAGTACCTACCCGATAAGCATACGGCTTTTAGCATTAGACTCCGTGCAATTTAGTTAAAAACTGAGATGTTTTTTGCTTAATAAGGTGAGATTTTTGTGTGTAGGTGCGATCCATTTGATTCAGGGAAGTTCAAGGAGTGGATAATGAAGGGATCATGCCCAGCAATCCCATCGATATTGGGAGTGTTCAAGAAGCTCATAGAGAGAGGCTTCAAAGTGTTCTTACTTACCGGTAGAGACCAAGCCACTCTTGGCCATATCACTATTCTCAACTTACATTCCCAAGGCTTCATTGGCTACCATCGTCTCATTTTGAGGTACTCATAATTACTTACTTCTTAATTTATTGTTTTATATTAGTCTTCTTCTTTTTTATTTTTTTATTGAATATTTTGAATTTGATTGGCCATACTATTAAGGAAAAATCACAAAAAAAATCATTAAAATAGAAAAATTACAAACAGAGACCTATTACAAATTATTATAGGTTTTGACAACAATTTTTATGAAAAAGTCTTTATCTGTAATTTTTAAATTTTGGCGGTCTTTTTTTACGATTTTTCCAACTATTAAGGTCTAGCTATAGCTAGATATGAAGAAAAGTTGGCTTGGCTTTTTCATCAGCATAGTGAACCTGATTCCTTGCTTTAGTTGTACAATTCCATAGCTATGCGTGTTGCATGCGTGTTTGTCCTCTTATTATGTTTATGGTTGGTTTTATTTAGGTGGGGGAATATGATTCTTCTTATGATAATCAAGAATATATAGAATAAAGTGTGTGTATATAAGGACAAAGCTTACAACCAAAAACAATATCATTTGTTGTTGCATGCGTACTTCTTACTCGAAGAGTAGATAGAGACTATCCAATTCATAACACCCACACATAAACGTTTTAATGTGTGTGTGTGTGTGTGTGTGTAATGATCATTTTTAGGCTGTTCTAGTAGTTCTTAGATTGAGTTTCTCCTCTCCTATTTCTAGCCTTTTGTGGGGTCTTATCCATAAGATAAGAGCAAGATTTACGGTTGGGAAAAATAATTATAAGTTTTTTAATTAGAAAACTAATCATGCACAAATATTTGAAGTTGCTTAAAGATCAAGTGCAACTAATCTTAAATTGGGTGTGAAGCCTTCTTCAGTTGTGTGAAACATATCTTCAGATAGCTGGAAAGAGTTGCAATCGTTAGCTCAACTACTTAGGTCTTTTAGGTATCTGCTTTTACACAACTAGTCTTAATATTAAAAAAAAAAAACTTTTGACCAATTTTTCATAGATTTTTTAAGGTTGATATCATCCTTAATTTTTAAATTTGACCTTGTTTTAATTTTGGTTTCTAAGGCAATATTTTAGGGACCAAAATTTTTTTAAGTATATCAAAATGAAGTCATATTTTAAGTTTTAAAACTGCTAATTTTAAATTTCAGGAATTAAATTAAAGATGACATTAACTCATTGTTTGTTTTAAGACTTTAGGATGGTTTGAATTTTTTTTATCTTTCTGTCGACATATCCCACCTCATCTTTGCCACTTATAAAATAGTCTTGAGTTCTCATGTGCCACGGGTTTGATATTTTACTTATTAAATATTATCCATGAAATGCACATGAGTGAGGGGGAGCCCCGGGGGGGGGAGAGAGAGAAACTGGTGGCCTACTGGTAGCCTCTTTTTTTTTTGGCCCTAAAAAGTACCGCTTCCAACTTAGTAAATATTTTTCTGATTTTATTTATAAATGACTTCCAACATGTTTCATATAAATTAAAAAAAACTTTAAATTGTATTAATTTTTATTAAAATATAGTAACTTTTTAACTTTATCTTTATTTAATATATACACTTTTCAAAAAAATAATTATCTACACTATAATAAATGAAGGGCAATATAGTACATTTATGATAAAATTTAATGAAGTGACTTATAAATAGAATAAAAAAAACCTTCTCCCCTGCCCTATAAATAGGACCAGAAGAGTACTTTTAGTCTTATTTATAAATTACTTTTAGCATGTTTACACAGATAAAAAAATCTTAAACTTATTAATTCTTATTTAAAATGCAACAGTTTTCTAATTTTATTCCTATTTAATATACATTATAACTCATGTAAACAAATTTTACACACTAATAAATGAGGAGTAAAATTGTACATCATACAAAAAATTTCTCTTAGTACCCTATAAATAATCCCAAAAAATGTCTTCTCTTTCTGTCCTATAAATATGACCAGAGGAGTATTTGTGTGAAGACTGAATTATAATTTTAAAAATAATTTTATATTATATAAAATAAATATGTAAAAAAAATTATCTCAACTTACATAAAAATACTTTTAAAATGCTTTTTAAAAAAAAATCAAGCACTTTTTAGTTCACGCCGTCCACTCAATTTAATCTTTTGTTTCAAAGCTGACCAAATACCAAACAGAGATTTTATTGTGCTCGCACGTCATGTCACATGGGAGGATCATTAGTACACAAACTTGTTTCAGACTTTGGGTTTGACATGTTCAATGTCTGTGTTCTTTATTTAATATGTCAACGATGGATGGTGAAATTCATTTGCGAAATTTCATTTTAATTATTAGAACCCATTCTACTTTTAATGATGCAAAATTAATTATTAATATTAAAAAAATGTTGAATTAGTGTTCATATATAAACTATACACTCCATAAACAACATGACATATGAGAAACGGGTCCACTTTAATTACCTCTTTTCAATATATCAAAAACCCTTAACAATCACACACACACGTACGACCGATGTTAATTAGGTCATACCTAATTTTTTTAAAATTCTTTTTTTTTTCCAATAAGGTTTTGCCTGGATGCTTCCTCTCTATTATTTATTGATGTCATTTTTCATGGCCACATGTGCTGTCGTGTAATAATGGAATTTGCACGCCTATGCGCATTCAATGCTCGGAAGTTCAATCGTCACAACTAACAATACAAACTTAATAAAATTCGTCTGGTGCTGCTTATAAGATAGGCTGAGAGAGAAAATTTTTACTGGTTTTATTTATAAATCATTTTATTTAACTTCTAGTATGAATGCACTATTTCATCTCTCCTTTATTACAGTGTTTAGTTATTTTTTTAAAAAAAAAAAGTGTATATAATAAATAGGGATAAAGTTGAAAAGTTTTTATATTTTAAGGAGAGTTAATTAATGCAGTTTAATTTTTTTTGGTCTGTGCGAAACATGTTAAAAATGTTTTATAAATAAAACCAGAGGATTTAATTAAGCTTCCTCACGAACCATGGAATGTTAGTTAAATTATTAAATGTGTTGTAAATTGATAAAACTTACCTATTTTAACCTTATTAAATAATGTAATTGTCTTCTACATTTAAAACTTTCTTCCCCTTGATAATAAGAGATAAAAGTAAAAAAATTATTTCTCTGATTCTATTTATAGAGTAGAGAGGTAACACATGTTTTTGTTTTATTTATAGGGTATTAAGAAAAACTTTTACATAAATGTATAATTTTACCCTTTACTTATTGTTGTATTAGACTTTGTTTTCATGAGGTATAATGTATATTAAATATGGATAAAGTTAAAAAGTTGTTGAATTTGAAATGAGAGTTAATGAAATTTAAGGTTTTTTTTGGTCTGTATGAAACATATTAGAAGTGACTTATAAATAGGACCAGAGGAGTATCATTAATTATTATACCAACCACTTATATTTTGGGCTAAAAATTTTTTTTACAAGACTTCTTATATTTTAAAGCGCAAGGATCATGTACATGCTTCCCACAAAGTAAATAGGTGGTTGTCCTTTTATATTTACTATATTGCCGACTTCGTTCACTAGTGGGCACTTCAATATGTATTTGAATAACCGAGTTCTACTTCTAGATAAGTATCATTAGTTCTTTTCATGTTATGCATATGAGACTATTTTCCCACGACTCTTGTTCCTTTTTTGTCCACTTTGAACGGTTCAATTTGCTTATTCCTGTTCTGTGTCAATCCTCTTGGTATGGATATGTGGATATGTTGATTTTTATTGGCGGGAATTAGAAAATGGTATGTGGAGATTTGAAAATGACGCAATTTTTAAATTTATCAGTTTAGGTGGATCATCAGAAAATATGTGCCTTGAACAATAATATTATAGCTCGCCAACCCACTACTTGAACCTGGCTGCCCATGTTGTTTGAAAATGATAATGAAAAGTCATAGGAAGTTCTAAATGCTTATCTGATGATCAACTTTTTAATGCTACAAGTCTCGGACATTTACAACCTTTTAACATCGGTCAGAGACCGAAATCATTTGAGAATGTTATGATTTCTGTGCTTTTTTTTTTTTTTCATAAGTATGACTTGATTGGTGCATGGAATTTCCATGAGCTTCAGTTTAATTAAGTGATACTCCTGATCTTACTTATAAAAATAAAATAGAGATAGAAAATTTATCTTGATTCTATTTATAAGACACCTCTTTTAATTTTTAGTACGCACATACTATTTTATCCCTTATAGACATTTTTTTTTTAAAATGTACATGTATTAAATAGGAGTAAAATTCGGAAGTTATTATATTTCAATGAAAAGTTAATATAGTTTAAGATATTTCTTGATTTGTTAAAATATGTTAAAATATTTTATAAGTAGGATTAGAGGAATAATTGTTTTGTTTTGAAAACTTAATCAATTCTCATAGACTTTTTTTTTTTTTAACGCAGCAGATTTATAAACTCATTGCATGGTTTTTCCCCCCTCCTTACACCAAAACGACTTTAGACCCCTACTTGTACTACACCTTATTCTTATCACATGAGGAAGCTTCAAGTGGCGTTTTATTATTAGTTAGCGAAGTGATAAAATTTTTAATGACATGACTTTTTATATAATTTCCTTGTTCAAACTTTTTATATAAATTTAAACATCTAGAATAGCTGTATTGCTGCCATAAAATTTTAAAAGTGAGAAACTTTCACCAAATAAGCACTAAGAAATTTTTTGCCTTCAAGCATGTGGGTGATTTGGAATCTTGGGTTAGTGTAATTGATTTTATATATATTTATATAGCCGTCAACCACTCATGATTGATGATGGTGAAAAAGGTCAAAGGGTTGGTTTATATAAATGACATTGCCGTAGGTTTTAACTTATTTACCTACTACAAATTAGTAATTACTAGCTAAGATCCTTAATATAAGATTTAATTTGTTAAATTATAGAAGGTAGTATTTTTTAGGGATTAAGGTGTAAATTTGTTTTGAAAATTTTCAATCAGGAGAGTTGAGTAGCCAAAATTTTTTAGTATAAATTTATTCTAAAAATTTAAAATCATAGTAATTTTGCCCTGGCTGTCGAAAAACTAACATTATATTGACCGTTGACATTTTTAATGGTGAGATAAAGTTGTTACAATTTTAAACTTTCAAAACAAATTTGTATTTAAAAAAATATTTAGGTATCGAATACTTTTAAGTAAAAACTTTCAGGACACTCTAACACATTTCTTAAAATTATGGCCACGTTTTGAGTAATGATTCCCGCGTTTTAAGTTTTGTCAAGTTTGGCTCAAGTCAGCGCAATGGGAACAACGCACCTAAATCTTCGCCTTTAATTAGATAGCTTTGTCAATCATTCATTCATGTCGATTGTCGACCGTTGTTCTCTCTTTTTTTGCCGTTTATTATGACATTTCAGTTTCAACCCAAAATAATAATTATAATAATGATAATAATATTATTAATGATTTTTTAAAAAAAAAACAAGAGTTTAAGGCAATGAATTAAATTAAAGTTGGTCCATTATTACGACGAAGTTGCGACTGCTGCCTCACGGCGTTGCCCCATTCAACGTCAACCTCCTACTCCCATGCACCTTAATCAATCAATCAACTAATTAATTAACTAACTAATAAGTTAGTTTGTTTTTATACATATTACCTTGATTTACTGTGTTGGTTAATTATGGAATCAGCTGTTTTAGCAATGATTAGAATTGTGATTAGGAGGAAATTAACTATGATTTTGATCATTGTAGTCATTAATTTACTGCTAGATACATAAAAGTGTTAGGGCAAAAGTAACTGTTGTTGCAATTATATAGTTATATTATTATACTCTCTCTTATCATATTTCCTCGCACATTCTCTTTTATCCTTTTTCTCATTTACTATAAGGACATTTTTGAAAACATAACTATATTTCTAACCTATTTATTGCTCTAACTAATTTTAACTAAGAGTTTGTTGTTTGTGAATTAGTTATTTGAAACGTATAATAAGAATCAGAAACCGTATAAATTTAATTAAGAGACAAAATTGACTGAGGTATTATACTTTTTATATTTGCAGGCGAGGGGAGTACAAAGGCGAAAGCGCGTCAAAGTACAAGTCGGAGAAGAGGAAGGAGATAGAAGCAGAAGGATACAGAATATGGGGCAATGTGGGAGATCAGTGGAGTGATCTTCAAGGCTACTCTCAGGGGAAACGTAGTTTCAAGCTTCCTAATCCTATGTATTTCATCCGCTAATTGAATATTAATTTCCATTACCCTGCTCTAATTAATCTTTAATTAGCTATATATGTCAATTAATAACACAACTTCGTCAATTGTTAGCTACCATTAGTTAGCTGGCCGCCTGGTTTAATTTGTCTTAATTTGTACCCCCTAACTAGTATTAATTGGTCTCCCATTGTTGAATGCCAATTAAGTAACATATGCACTCACATCATAATTAATTACAAATTGTGATGCCAATATAATTTTAATGCCTTCGAATGAGCTAGGCTGCTTAATTTGATCTACACCTTCTACTTCTTCTTCCTCCTCCTTTCTACCTATAAAAAGATCTTCAAACCCTATTATTCATCTAATTAATTAGATATGGTTAGAGAGACTAATTCAAAAGATGTGTGTTGAATGGGTCAAAGGAGAAGAGTAAGAGAGAGAGGAAGAGAGAGGGAGAATAACACAAAAGGAGCGAAATTCCAAGAAGAAACAGGCAATATAAATTACAAGAGATATTTAACATTTAAAGGAATAGGGGACCATGATGAATGATATATACATAGATAATATAAACAAGAAAAGTGAAATTTCCAGGAAGCCAGAGGGCAATGTGGGTTGGAAAGTTTCAGAACAAATTGATGATAGATAGACAACAAGAAGAAGCAGATAAAGGAGTGAGGTTACCCATTTTGACTCTCTGAACGAGGAAAAAAGCGCGTCCTACTTGCCATGTACTATTTGTCATCATTTTAAAAGTTATTCTTCGATGGTTTTGCATCTTTTCCCCCCCTTCAAGTTCTGCATATATAATCTAGGTTCTTATAATGCTACTTTTTCCTACATCCTATGTCAAATGAGTAACTTACCATTGGTTTAACTTGATATTGATCAATTTGTTTTTGACACTACAAATTAGGGAATCAGTTGTAGAGCTCATCCTTTTGATGAGCACTCTAAATTTATCAGATTTGGATTGTTTATATCTCATTTGAATAGTCTAAATTTGGTTTTTTTAATTTTTTTGGTCAAAATAATTACTTTAATATGTATAGAATATAAAATAGAGATAATCTCTTAACTCTTGTTTTTTTCAAAAAGATTTTTTTCTATTTAAAAATAATTAATTAAAATTTTTAAACATAAATCATTCATATCATATATAAATGGTCTATCTCTTATGAGTTTAAGATACACATCAAGGTGATGAACACTGAAACTGGTTCCTACAAATTGGGTGTGGTTGGGGAAATTAAAAGTTACATGACCAGACGACAAGATAGCCAGCCAAACAATAATAATTATTCTTGTTAATTAGATTCCTCTTAAGTATATTTTCACGTGAAAACCAAAATTAGCTTTGTGTTTATTGAGATAAAAACTTGCGCTAATGCATTAAATTAGAGAGTTTGGGAAATAAACTATATACTGTTTATAATTTAATTTGTAAACAATTTGATTGAGTCAGGATTCTTTTACTTTCTGATAAAATTGATTGCGTGTGATGTGTTCAAAGAGAAATGAAGAAATAAATGGGTAAATAAGAGTTTAAATATAAAATATGGACCCCATGCATAATTATATATTTTCTAATATATATGGATATATTAATTATTATCTACTCTACTTTGCCAAGTCAATATTTATTCATGAATAATATACACAACTAATGATTTTTGGAAAAGTTTTTCATAGGTCACAAATAAGAAGATTACATATAAATAGGTCTTTTGAACTCCATTTAATATTAATAGATATAGTTTTCATATTTACAAGTTGAGTTGTGTTATTTATAAGTCCTTTAAGAACTATTAGTATTAAATGAAATTCAGGAGACCTATCAGTATTTGATTTTCTTACTTATCATCTACAGATAATTTTTCCATGGCCTTTTTCCCTATATATAAGGATAATCAATATAATACCCCCAAGAAAAATCTCCAAAATTCCTTGCTTACCATATCACATACTAATTAATTAATGTTTCTTTTGGGCAAAAAGTTAATTAATGGTTTGATCATACTCATACTGGCAATTTGGGAGGGAGAAAGCCTCTTTAATTGTGCCCAAAAGGCAGTGATGTTTGGGAGGGAATCATGATTAGATGCTTCATCATTGAAATCCTAATTTTTCTAATTATTTATTATTTGTTAATTTTAGTACACTATTGGATTGTTATTTATATATGAAAAATTCTATTCCATTCCAAACTTTAATTGGCAAAGAAACACTTGCAAGTCCAAAGCTCAATCCATAAGGTGCCATCCCCCCTTTTATCAGTCCAATCAGAACAAGTACACCTTTAATCAATTAATTAATAAAAGAACAATATAGATTAGCTGTATTTATTATAATATATTCTTTAACCTTATCCCCCATCTCAATAACTTTCCAAAGTCATGAATTTATTCATAAAAAAAGTCTATGTACAAAGTCGTCTTCCTTTTTTATTCTTCATGATTGGTCTCTTAATTTATCGTGACCTTTTTTGGGCCATGCTCAACTTTTATTTATCGGACAATGCACTTGGAATTATCTAAATTGGTTCTTGGATTATTTGAGATAGTTTCCAATTGTTTGCTATTCTTCGTCAATGTTAGTCAAATTTTAATATTTAATACTATTTTTTTCCCTAAATATCAGAGTTAGTTGGTGTTTTTAAACATAACACCCCAATTCATTTTATCTTGTAAATTTATAATTTTTTCTCGAAATTATCTATATTGATGTAAAGTATTTTTACCTAAGTGTAGTTTCAATGTAAATAATTAATTAAGGATAACTTAAGGAAGCCAACACATATTTGTTACAAATAACTAATTTAACTAATTTTTTTAATCTCATCAAATTAGTTATCTAGCTCTTATATTAAGAACCAAAGATAATATAAACTTTTTTATAAAGGGTTAAGGTACATCCAGTACCCTAAGATATTTTGTGATACATCAGCATGCCACAGTATTTTGTAAGTCCGTCCAGCACTCTAAAGTTTTTTTTTTCCCCTTGGTGCTAGATGCACCCAAAAAAATTAAGAAAGTTGCTTTGAGGTACTAAATGCATCAAAAAATATTCATGATGCTGGACACACTTAAAAAATACTTCAGGATATTGGATACACTATAAAATATTTTAGAATGCTAGATACATATAAAAAAAATACTTCTAGGTGCTGGATTAACTTTTTGATAAATCATGCATAATTTATTTTCAAGTTTCAAACACTACAGAAGGCCCATATCTCTGTTGTTGGTTGTAAAAAAAAAAAAAAACCTTAAAAAGAATCGGTTGAAGACTTGGAATGTTGATAGTCGATTAAGAAACAGTGCTGGGTTGGGCTTTACCATCACACTCTTATTCTGGGCTTCATAAGTACATTTCTTGTGCTGGGCCTCAAAATTCATGGACCAAATGAATTTGGGCCAATCTTAAAACTGTAACCCAACTTTTCAACGTCCATATACTTTGGATCCCGTTTTAACTTCTTAAGTGGGTTTCATCCCAAAAATATGCTTTACATCTTCAAATATATTGAAAAGCAAAATTGTATCAAAAAAGAAAAGCAAAAACATGATTGATTTGGGGATGCAAATAAAAGTCAATAACCAGAATAATGTCTTGTAAATTATTTTAAAATTATATAGCCATCAATTTTTAAATTTCAAAATATATTAAAATTATACTAATCTTTCTTCGAAATTTGCTGATATTATAGGCATCTTCATCTTTCATATATTTTTATTTTAGCTATCATATTTCCTTACGAATAGAAATAAATTATTTTAATGTAATAAAATTCATGGAAGATTTTTTTAAAATATTTTGAAAGTAAAATAGAAGTATTTATCTTTTATTTTCATGGGAGACATGTATCATAAGCTTTTTAAAATAGAGAGAATATCCGTATAACTTCAATAAACTTATGAGAAATTCATATTATTTTGATTAAATATGCACTATTAAATATTAGTAATACATAGAGTGAGTAATATAGTAATATCTCACCAAAAAGTAAAAGACAATTTTTTTTTCGGAGGGGGAATTCAAAGTCAAAGAAAAAGGAAAAAATGATTTAGATATTTTATTATTTCTCAGAACTTATTAGCTCCATAATTGGATCCCACGTGGCGGATGGAGTCGATATTTTGGAATATAATTACCAAAGTCCCATCATCAACTGTACCTTTGAGTTCTGTGATTTTTTTTTTTTGACCGGAACCTTTGAGTTCTGTGATTGTTTCATGATTAAGTAATTATAACATGAAAATTGGTAATCCTTTTATAGAGCTACATCCCTAAGATTGAACGCTTCAATCCTTATCTTCTCGTTTTTGTTTTCTAGATTTTAGGTAAAGTATTTAATTAAAGCCCTCTAAAAAAATTAGACAGAGACCCAAAAAAAATCCTCAACAAAATGATTGAACAAGATATTTTGATAAACAATACTCTTTTAGTCATATTCATAAGGCAAGAGAAAAATTTTGTTGATCATTTTTATAAGTCACTTAATTAAATTTGTAACTTAGATATACTCCCTCCGTTTCTTATTATAAGAGACATTTGATGCTTATAATATGTTTTCATATATAAGAGACATTTAAAAATTGTCTCTATTTTTTTGTATTGATTTTCTATTTTACCCCTATTTATTTTGTCTCCAACTCATACTCTCTCTCCCTCCCACTTATCTTTTTTTTAATAATTTAAATGTTCTCTTGCATACTCTCTCTCCTTATTAATGGTGGCATTGTTGGAAAAAACATTATACTTTTTACACATTAATTGTCCTCAACTAATTTTAACTGTTTTTTTATTAACGTAATTTGGTTATTTGTCTCTTATAATGAGGAACGGAAGTAGTATTATTTTATCTTTTATTTATTAGAATGTAGATAACTATCTTTTTTGACAAGTATATTTATTATATAAGGATAAGATTGGAAAATTATTATATTTTAGTTAAGAGTTAATGTAGTTTAATATTTTTTTTATCTATATGAAATATATGAGAAGTGTCTTATAAATAGGATCAAATGAATGTTTTTAAAGATTTACTTATTACTCCCTCCATCCCTTTTTATAAACAACATGAGAGTTTATCACGTAAATCAAAATGTTAGTTAAAATTAATTAAAGACAATAAATGTGTGGAAATTAGAAGTTTATTCTCTAAAATGCCCTTATTTATGGAGGGAGAGTATAAGATAGAAAATAAGAAAATCATTATAATAAAAAAATTATGGAAGGGAGAGTGTGTGATAGAGAGATGATGGTTTGATAAATGAAATAATAAATATA